TTACTGATACAGGTTGGGACTTCCAGTTCAGAAGGAATCTCTTCGACAGAGAAATGCATGAGGTTGATATATTTATTCAGAAGATGCAATCAATGGTGTTATCGCCAGAAAAAGAAGACAGCCTACTCTGGAAAGCTAGTAAAAAAGGTTTTTGTACTGTTAGTTCACTCTACAAAATACTAAATGCTACCTAGTCGGTGCAAGCACAAAAGTGGCCTTGGAAGATGGTTTGGAAGACTACAGTCCCAACAAAAGTAGCATGTTTTGGTTGGCTAGTAGCACATGAAGCATGTCTGACTCAAGAAAATTTGATGAAAAGGGGTTGGATAATGTGCAGCAGGTGTTACTTGTGTGAGAAAGCTTGTGAATCCGTGGACCATCTTTTTTTGCAATGTGAATTTACTTGGCTGGTGTGGTCCATGTTCACGGCTAACTTTGGCATCCTTTGGGCAAGTCCTAAGAAATTCAGGAATATATTAGAGTGTTGAGAACCTGCATGTCCAGAAGCATCCTTAAAGAAGTTTTGGAGAGATATTCCTCTTAGCATAGCTTGGACGATATGGAAAGAAAGAAATAATAGGTGTTTTAAAGGCAAGAAGGAGCAGCTGCAATATGTGAAATACAATTGTTTACATTATTTGTACTATTGGAAAGATGGAAATGTTGTTATGAATTTTCATGATATGCCGGACATGCTAGATCGCTTAGGATTTTAATGTTTTTAAGCCAGCAGTATCCTTGTAGTTTCACAGTATCAGCTTGATACTGTTTTTAATAAAATCTTCACCTTATCAAAAAAAAAACTACAATATAAACAAAAGAAAAAAGAAAAAAAAAGGCCCCTTATTAAAATTTGGCTTTAGGCCACGAGTGAGACGTCCTTGGATTGGTCCGTGATGCAACAGTATGGCATAATTAAGGGAGAACTTGTGTCTTTAGCCGGCAACATTTCTTCAAATAGTAGTTTATAACCTGAAAGAGTGGAGCTTGGTCTGTGATGCTAAAATATGATAGAATCAACAGAATTTCTTTCCCCATACAATTGTACTAATGAACTTTAACCATGTTTCTGTCTCTTCCTAGCTTATTTGGTTTTCTTTTGGTATTTTATTTTGTCTTAGGTTGGCATATATGGTTATACAGCTTATTCAACCAGTAAGTTTGGCCTCAAAGGACTGGCAGAAGCATTGCAGCAGGAGGTTATTGGTGAAAATATTCACGTATCACTAATATTTCCCTCGGACACTGAAACTCCTGGATTTGCTGAAGGTTTGATATGAGAATGGATCCCACTCTGTTTCTTCTGGTTGTTATTGCTGCATGTCACAGTGCACGAACTAAAATGATACGCTACATGTTTAAATATTAAAAATTGGTTTTATCTTATTTCTTATGAACAAATCATCATGCCGGAAGGATTGTAGGTTAGTGGTTCTTTAATAGAGTTACATATATAAACCTTTGCATTGGAATTTCTTTCCAACAAAGCAAACAAGTCTAACTTTACCTTATCAAAAAAAGATAATAAAAAAGAACTGTGTTATTCTAGCGCTGTTTCTAAACTGAGGCAGATCTAGCCCTTCAGTTGGGTTGGGGGTGGGTCAACCAAACCCATTTCTGTCTGCTTGCTTCATGTTTTTCTATGTAATTTTTTTTTTGAATTGGTAACTATTGTATATATTAAAAACATCAGTACATACTGAAAACCAGATTTACATGGAGAGGATTAGTAGATGTTCTAATTCGAGACCTAGCAAGATCCTAGTATGTCTATGATTGTCAATGAATCTTCTATGTAAATCTGTTTGCACCAAAAACAAAAAAGAACACAATTGAGTTTGATCTTCTGCACTGGATTTCTATGTAAAAATTTTAAAATGTAATATGGCCATATCCACTCCGAAACCACTAATTCTAAATGCTAGATCTACCTCTGAATCTAAATTGATATGTTAGTTATATATCCTTTTCTTTAGTCTCTGTCGCACATGTTAAATGGAGTACATTTTATCATGATTCCATTGGCTATGCAAAATCTGTTTCTGCCTTTTATCTTCTTGAAAGGGCATGAGGATTCCTAGAACCTGACAGGATGTTAAATGCTGCATTGGAGTGTCGTTTGATCTATTTGGATAGTACAGCTCTAGAACATTTTGAAGCTTAATGTGTATTGCATCTGCTTCTTTTTGGTAAGAAGAATGTGGTCAAGGTGTTGACATGCTTATGCGAGTTCAGGAGTTCCATTATTTATGACTTTTAGATTGTTATACTTTTCTTATTTGCATATTTCAGTCTTGCCTCATTTAACCATTGTAACCTGTTGCTGCATTTTTTTGTGTGAACCTCCTTGGTGCTCTCTTTATTTTATGTAATAGTTTACTATTCACCAATCCGAAAGAAGAGAGAAGAAGAAAAAATGTGAAGAGTGCGCATGGAGATAATGCAAGCACTAATATTGCACCTTGGGATACATCATCATCACTGTCAGTGTTGCACCCATCTCATTCCAAGCATTTGAGATGAAATCTTAGATACTCCTAGTGCCCTTGCTTCTGAGGCATGCACACATTGTTTAATGTACTTGATAGGGGCTTAAGCTTACCTGACTGATAATCAGCTTAAACCTGCATAAATTTGGTTATACTCTTTTACCATCTATTTTTCAGTATTTCACCTGTTTGAACAACAATTATGAAAGTCTCATTGTTATTGCAGAGAACAAAAGAAGGCCACGGGTGACTAGTATAATAGCAGCTTCTTCTGGTGCCATGAAAGCTGACGAAGTTGCCAAGATAGCTTTGAATGGCATTAAATCAGGAAATTTTACTGTCCCCTGTAACTTTGAGGGATTCTTGCTTTCCATAGCAACTGCTGGTCTATCTCCTCAAAGATCATTCCTAATGGCATTTGTCGAAGTGATAGCTGCTGGAATATTACGTGTTGCTGGCCTATGTTTCCAGTGGAATTGGTACGGAAGCATAGAGAAATGCCTGGAGAAAGGAAATAGCAAATGACTACTTAGCACAGTCTAACAAATGTTTTTTGCAACTTCCTTAAAAAATTAGTTTGAAGTAGTTTGATCTACGGGTATGCTAAGACTAAAACTATGTAGTCCTCGTCCCCATTAGATTTTGTCCATTACCAATTTTCTCTGGCTAATTTGACCAGTTTTTTCTATCTACTGTGCTTGAAGTTCAATAGATTTTTAGTTAACTGGTAAGGTTATACTATTAGTTTTGCATTTAAGCTTAATATTCTTGAGCTGTCACAACCTTCATTCCTGTGTTTATGGTTAGCTGCGTAGCAAAGGTAGTAGAAATGAAGAGAAGTGAAAGAGAAAAAAAGGAATAAATTTCAAGTGCATGTCCAATTAATACATGGAGACAGGAAGGTTAACCAAATAATATGCAGTAATGGAGGAATAAGTGGACAGATCATTGAAATGTTGGGAAGAATAACTGCACTTTGCTTTCTTTGTGGTTTAGNGTGATTGATCTTCTTGAAAGAACAGCAAATCCTATGGATACTGATGTTGCATTGAAGGCAGTCCGAGCAAATACCTCTAACCAGCCTGATATGGTTCAACAACAAGGTGGTGTGACTGTTTCTATAGGTACAAATGCTGTAGATGTCTCTAATGCTGCCTTAGTTCAAGCTGAGTTTGCTTTAGAAGGGGCTGAATCTGAGCGATCAAAACCTACTGATGCTAGACAACATACAAGGGAAGCTGGACAACATATTACTAACGATAACTGGACATCGGTTTCCAGCAAAAAAAGGACTTCAAACAGCAAAAAACTAATGCAGATCGCAAAAAAGAGTCCAGGTGTACCAAAAAATTCAAACTCATTTACTGCTCTTGGTAATGTGAATGATGATGATGGGAAGTTGACTGGAGAGAATTTACAGCTGGTTGAGAGTTATAAAGACCAGAAATTGGATCAAAATAGCTCATCGACTCCAACGGCATTGAATAAAGCTCTTGTTACTGTGAATCAGAATGAAGGTAAGACTACTGATCCAAATATGCAACTGCTGGCCCATGATCAAAATGAAGGGAAGGTAACTCCTACGATACATTTCTCCAGTCCACATGTGGAGAAAATTATCAAAGATTCACAGATTAAAATGATGTTGGATGCCAACCCTATGTTCAAGCAACCGTTGGTCACCTTGAACACATCGATGTATGATATTCCCTCTCAATCTTGTAAGTCAATTGGTGAGCATGGGGGTGAATCTGGGCAACCATCAATCTCCACTGGCAATAACAAAGGAATAATTCAAGCAAAGGTGAGGGAGATGGTTATTAACTCGAAAATGTGGAACGACCTACAAGAGTATGATAATGAGGAGGGCTGGGTTGACGGAATTGCTGGTTTTTCTCTGAAGAAGATGACCAAGAGGATGATCAGGATAGTGCAGGAGAGTACATTGATGCTCCAATCAAGCCAAAGTTTCAGGGGAAATCGGCAGCACCCAAGAACAATTTGAATTGTCATGCACTTGCGGCACTTGCAGCAAGTCCCAACAGCAAGTTGAACCATAATGCTCCAGCTTTTGTTCCAAGAATTTCTGCAAATGCAGAAGCAACAAATTTGGGTCAAAAGGCAACAGGAGATAATGTGCAACAACAACAATGCTCAGGCGAAAATTCTGTTGGTGATCGAAAAGCAACAGTAGTGCCAAAATCTGGGCAGAATCAAATTGTAACAACTGAGCCACTCATTTCATTGGAGGAGAGGAAACTTTTGGATGCAATGGTAAGCTCTACTCCTCTAAAATCCTTAAATCCTGCTACGCTTAGCACTGGTCCTGTAAGTAAGAGCAAGAAAAAAATGCAAAACATAGGACAACAACAAAGTAAGACAATCGTGACAACGACACAAGGAGGAGATGCCTTAGTGACACTCGATATCGTTCAAAGTTCTCCACAACCTGTTAATTTGGGGAGTGAATTTTTTGAACAAGGAAAAGAAGAAGCAATGTTACAAGAATGTCGTGCACAGGCATCAAGAAAAAGGGATCTATCACCAAGGCATAACAACAAAGGTAAAAAGACTCATACAAGGAAAAATAGTTGGGACGACAAGGTTAATGATTTTTTAAATGTTAGGCGACCTCCAATGAGAAATGCCAAACAAAAGCAGGTCGCCCCAACTACATCAACAAGGTCCAATCGTTCTAAAAAGAAATCATGAATTTTGAATACTTCTTGAAGAATTGGGAGTGTGATGAAAAAGAATTACAAATTGAAGAAATTACAAGTTTGGACAAGAAGGGACAATATTTTAATTCCTTCATCATTTTATTCTACCATTATGTTAGTATTCTGATTTGTAATATCATCACAGAATATGTTATAAACTCTGTGGTGATCACTGAATATTTGATTGTAGCTAGTTCTTTCTTTTTACATGCTTGCTAGTGAGGCTATTTTATGCCTCAATAGGATTAGTAAGGTAAGGTTTAGCCTGGTTTGTGTTATATGGGTAACAATATCGGTGCTATTGTCCCCCCTTATTTCTACTTTTCCTAATTGTTGTATTTTTTTTTTCTGTTATTAATAAAAAACTAGCCCTAGGCGCTTGCCTAAAAAAAAAAAGTGGACAGATCATTGAAATGTTGGGAAGAATAATTGCACTTTGCTTTCTTTGTGGTTTAGTCAATCGCAAGCCATCAATACCACCACCAAGCATTTGTTGTTTGTGCTCTCATCAACAACTTTTTCTCATGTACAGATCCTAGGCGATCAGTAACCAATGCAGTTAAATTTACTGGTTTCGGTTCGAATCATGTATAGAAGTAAAAGAACTAAATGTTATAAATGTAAGTAAATTGTATCCATTCTGAATATCCACTGTTTCTGTCTTAACCTTCTCTTCTTTCGACACGCTCTTTGATTTTTTTCAGGGGAAAACTGTTTGTGTAGGTACTAAAAGGAGGGAGCTTGAACTTTTCTGTTGGACCATTTTTCTCAACATTCAATTTTCTTCGAAAGAATTGGATAGCCCAAGGGTTGGACCACTAGCTGAGCAACACAAACCGGATAAAGAGAAGGAACATATAGAATGTTCTTTTAAAAAATTGGTTTGGAATTATTAGGGAAAGGAGAAGATGAATTGAAAGAGATAGGGAGAAGATTTACTTAACAAATGACACATAATCTTGTAAATTTACGAATAGAACTTTTCGATAAAAAGAAGACAATAATTTAGAACATGCAGCAAGTATCAACGTAGAGTATCCAGAAAGAATAGGACACTAGAATGCCAGGTATTGTTGTCAGGTCCACATGTCTTATATCTACTTGTTGTAGAGGAAAGTGCAAAAAGCAATTAACAGACACAACCTCTTGCAGAAATGCAGGGTAAGACTGCATACAATAGACCCTTGTGGTCCGGCCCTTTCCCGAATCCCGCGCATAGCGAGAGCTTAGTGCATCGAGCTGCCCTTAACAATATTGACCCTTGTGGCTCATCATTCAAAAGATTGAACTTATGAATGGAAGTACTTCAATAGACATATCTATATTATGGATGAGAGTACTTAAATAAACATGTATGATTTGATGCTAATTGATGTCCCCATTTAACTTTTAGGGTGCCTGTTCCATTATGGTTTGATCTACTGCCTTATTTGCTTCTTCCCGTTGTTCTTGTGGAAGCTGATAATTGAATCTTGATTCTAGTCGGGATAGTTGACAAATTTGTGGTTTAATTAATATCTCTGGAAAGTCCTTATAAAATAAGTTAATATCTCTAGAAATTACCTAGCATCTTTGAAATCGCTTATTTCTTTTGTGATACACTGGTTGAGGCATGTGATACGAGATTTGATTACATCGTCCTTTAATTTTCAAAAATTTAAGTTCTTTCATTAAATTTTTTTTTCATTAGATATGAGCTGTTGTTTTTATGTCTTTGGCTCAAGTATTGTAAAATACTCACACCTACTGGTTTCTTTATTGAAAAGCTGGCCGTACTATGTGATGCTTGCTCAGACTTTGAAGGTTTTTCACCTCCTGGGATATGTTGAGAGTCACAACTAAACCCACTGTTAGAAGATTCATATATCTGACTGTGTTATTTGACCTTTTTTCACCTTCTAAATTTTTTTTTCACTTCTTATCTGCTTCACTATCTTTAAATATGAACATCTTAGTATCTGTAGTTTTATTGAGATGCACGAATTATTAAATTAATTGAATCAACTTGTCTTAAATTGGGTGTCTATTTTTATAGTTGTTGATGTTCGTATTTCGTGCGATGATTTGTTTCTTATGACTTTCCGTTCTTTCCTTTAATCCCCTCTAACCTATTTCGCTCACAATTTGAATTATTGAACTATTTTCCAGTACTACTTGAAGACCGGAACTTGCAAGTTTGGAGCCACATGCAAGTTTCACCATCCTAGAGACAAGGTTGGAATTGCTGGAAGAGTTACCCTATATGTCTTGGGCTATCCACTTCTCCCGGTTTGACCTCATTACCTCTTTGTTTGTCAAAATTTATTTTTGTTACTATGCAAAAAAGTCTTTCTATTGATATCAAGACGGTGTCAACTTTACAAAAGATACAAAAGGATAGAAATTAAGCCCTCCAAAAGATCCAATTAGCAATTTATACAAAACATTGTATTCTTTTTACACCAAAATACATACAAAGGACAACTTCTAATTCTCCATAGTGAAATTCAATTCCTTCAAAAGCTCTAATCTTCTTTTTCTCCAAATCATCCAAAATATGCAATAAGGAGTTGTATTTCATATCTCTTTAATTTCTTTTTGAAGTCCATCTTTCTTGCCCTCATCTCACCATCACTTCCACCACTATAATAGGTGGTACCTATCATAGGCGGATCCAAGATTTAAATTCTATGAGTTCAACTTTTAAGGTTTTTAGCATTGAATCCATTATATTTTTAAAGTTATGGGTTCATATCTACTATTTTTGTAATTTTAATAAATTTTTACATATAAATTTTACACTGCGTCGAAAGTTATGAGTTCAGTTGAACCCGTTAGTTCTTCACTACATCCGCCTCTAGTACCCGTCATACTAAATGGGGAATATACTAAGGACCAAAACTCTGTTGGTAGCCCGAAATGTAGTAACAGATGGTGCACATCCTCCCCGTGATTGTGACACATACCTGTTCTACTTGTCAATTTAACTGAAACAATTACCCAAATGTAGGCAATAGGTTCTAAGCTGATGGTGAATTTTTGTGATCCTCAACCTTCATTTTAG